GTCCCGCTCGCCCTGATCCCGTCCCGCTTGCTGAACCCCCTTGTGCTCTGGGTGTGTGTCCCCGGAGCCGCAGGCAGCATCTGAGCTGTATCCTGTGCGTGCGTCCCTTCCCCCTGGCTCTCCCACAGGCGGCCGTGGGCTGGGGGCGGCCGGATTCAGACCCTGCCATGAGCCCAGCCCTGCTGGCATGGGGATTTCCACCACTTTCATGCCTCGGCCTTTTCTTGTCTCTTTTGGCCGTCGGGGCTTTTGGGGGTACGCGGTGGCTGCAATGTGGTGTTTTTGGGGTGGCATAACGCCCTGGAGCGGGGTGCTCCCTGCCCCGCTGCGCCTGGGCACCCTTTGCTACTGGTGCTACCTCTCAGCTCGGGATGCAGCCCTGTCCCCGGGGGCCAAGGGATGCGCTGGGGACACCCAGCTGAGCCCGGCCACCAGCCTCGGTGTCCTCGTGGGTGGGGGCCCTCATGGGCGGTGAGTCGCAGGGGCGCAGCAGACAGGCAGTTGGGGGTACTGGTGTGGGGGACGGGGATCGGGGACTCCCCAGCACCCACAGAGCTGCCCAGGCACGATGCTCTAGCACAGGGGTCGCGGCAGGGCTTGGGGATGGGGTTTAATCAGCCACGGTGAGGGCAGGAGGCAGCAGAGCCACGACCCCAGCAGGGCCCCCAACCACCCACTTTTGGGCTGCTCAGAGCTGGGCACAGAGCCAGGGGGCTGGAGGGGCCGGCAGCACCAGGGGCAGCCGAGGCCACAGGGCCGGAGCAGAGGAAGGAAGCGAGCGGAGAAAAAACAAAAATCCCCACGAAGAAAACCCAAACCCGCCAGGCTCTGACATCAGCCCCGTGCCCAGGGGGCGAAGGAGCCACCAGCAGAGCCTGAGGCGCTGCGGGGAGGCAGTCGGGCGGCCGGGCAGGAAGGATGCGGCCATCCGGTCAGGGCTGGGGCGCTGCCAGCACAGCGGAGCCAGGGCTGGGGCCGGCGGGCGCCTGCCTCGTGCCGGTGGGGATGAGGGGACAGGAGGGACGGGTGGTTTGGGACTCTACAGCCTAAAGCTGTGCAGCGGGGAGCAGGGTGACCCATCTCCCTTGTGTCTCCAGCCCTCTTTGGATGTGCTGTGAGCGTGCCTCAGTTTCCCCAGGTGGTGAGCAGGGTGGTGGGGCTGGGAGGGGGGACACCACGGTACCCAACAGGACCAGGCACCCTGCCCTCCTCCCCGGCACGGCCCCTGGGTGCTTGGTGATGGGGTTTTAGATGCTTTTCCTCTGGCTGGAAAGCCCGAGGCTGCCCTGTAAGCCGGGGGGGGGGAAGATGCTGTGCTGGGGCTGAACAGGGTGCACAGGGCTGCACGCACGGCCACCCCACAGTCACAGCCACCCTCTCGTCTGTCACCCTGCAGCCACCGCCATCCCAGGGCCCAGCGCTGAGGGCCTTTTGCTTATCACCCTGTGATGTCACCGCGGGGAGAGGGGTGCGGGAGGGCAGGGGTGCCTGTGCCTGGTCCTGGTCCCCATCCCCGTCCCCATCCCCGGATGAGCCAGCACCCGTCCCCGCGGTCCCCAGGAGATGGCAGTGCTCTGTCATGGGAGATGTCTGCTGCTCACCCCAGGGTCAGGGCCATCTCCGGGGACATCCTGGCTGGTGGGGACAGGGCTCGCTGGCTTCCCTGGCAGGTCCCCATCCCGTCCCCCCCCATGCCGGCCATGGCTCAGGATGGAGACCACCCCCGGGGGCCTGCGCCCACCCTCAGCACGGGGCTCCTGACTCCCAGCCCACTGTTAGCTGTGTGAGGGCTCTCACGTCGGGCAGCAGCTGCTGGCACGTGCGAGAGGAATGGGTCAGGGGTGCGGGAGTTATCCCCTGGGTGCCCCCAGCCACCCCATGGCTCCCACCTCGGCGGTGCTTTGCTGTGATCCCCTTGCCCGAGCAGGCCTGTCCCGGGGGACCTCCTAACCCCAAACCCGCCTGCCAGGCAGGGATGTCCAGGCAGTCCCTGGCTCTGGCCTGGCCAAGGGTACAGGCAAGGCAGGCAGCTGTGCTGTGGGGCCCTCCATCTGCCCCATGGCCCTGGATGCCCACTCTGGGGCCATGGGGCAGTCACGGGCCTGGGACATGCTGGGGTGCTGGCTGGGGGCAATGTGGGCTGACTGTTGGGGCGCCGTGGGGCAGCCCCCATCCCCCTTGCCTGGGGCAGCCTCTGTCCCCGTTGCTGTGGGACAGCCCCTCCTCGCCGTGCGGGTCGGGCTGTGCTGCAGCAGTGTACGTGGGCAGATTTGGGGGGGGCATGCCCCACCTGGGCACTTCCCAACCCCTGTGTCCCACCTCTCCGCTCACCAGTGCCGGCCCAGGAGGGTCCCTGGGGACACCCACCCCGGGTGCCTGTGCCCGCCC